CTTTTATTTTGAGTTTTATTAAGTTTCTGTCTGAGGCTCCCCAGGTATGAATCACCTTTGAAGTACCGTTGGGGCCTTGAAGCGTGACCCCTTTACAATGTGAACACGTGGCATAAGTTGCTTTTACTTTGTCCAGTGATAGTTACGGACGGATTTATTGCGTAACAGGCATTTGGGGTGATTCGTAACAGACCCGCATAAAAACAAGAATTAAAGTAGTTTTTGCTGTTAAATGCTTGAATTTTTCCTCGAATCATCTGCTGTTTTATTCCAATACATTTACACAGCTCGAAATGCATTTTGAAGCGAGTTATTCTATGCTTTCCTCTAAAATTGAAAAAAAGTGAGGTTAGGATTGACGTAGCCTATCAGTTAATGCTGAGGCGGTCAACGGCAGCTTGTAATGTAGATTTTCAGACGTCTGCAGGACACCCGAAGAACAACTGGTGGAGGAGATAACATTCCCGACGATGTTTCAATTAATGTGTAGGATGTTACGAAAAGCCCCATGGCTGTTACAAATCACCCCATGCTGGGGCGATTCGTAACAGCATGCAAGAGTTTGGAAAACGTCTTTGATATCAAAGATTACGGACTCCAGATTGATCCAATGGAGCTGCACAGTCTAGATGAAGGGCCAGACTGCTCAACTGGCACAAGTTTGACACATGCAGAATGTTCTTAATTTTGTATAGAGAATTCCGAAATCTGTTACAAATCACCCCATACTCCCTTAAGTCTCCACACTTGCAAGTGCAGAGTTTGCAGTCGCCAAACTTATCATGGTGCAAACGTGGACAACTCCAGTGTGGAGACTGCAAACTCTGCACTTCCGAGTGTGGAGACTGAAAATTCCGCACCTCTGCATTTCAAATGAGGAGTTTTCCACGTTTGGTTGTGGGGGTCTCCCCTTAACAACACTCAAGTCCCCTTGCTGGGAGGTAATTGACAGCGTTGAGATTTGGCGAGGCGAAAGGCGTCCCTTGATTGGCTGGCATTGTCACTGCCCCAGGTGGCGCCTGGCGCCGCGCTGCAGCGCCGCCCCGTGGGCTGGTGGCGGCGGCACAGCGGCCTGCGCGCAGCCCCCTTCCCCACGGCCTGGCGGACAGCACCCGTTCGCAGCGACCTGCAGGGCATCACCATGCGTGCTGCCGTCTTCGTAAGGACTCGGTGCCACCGCCTTTACAATAGTCCAGATCCACTGCAAATGCAAAGGCGATACTTAAGTACACTTTTTGGCGATACAATTGAGTATCGCCAACAGACGGCATTACGGAAAAGTATTGCCTTCAGAACGGCGATACACAGAAGTATCGCCAAAACCGCGGCATTAAACTAAGGACTTGTCCCCTTGATTTGTTCAACGTTTAATGCCAAATCGTGGCAATACTCCGATGTATCGCCGTTTTGAAGGCAATACTTTTCCGTAAGGCGGTTTATTGGCGATACTCAATTGTATCGCCAAAAAAGGTACCAAAAGTATTGCCTTTAGATTTGCAGTGGAGGAGATTCTTGAGCAATCTCACTACCGTTTCTATTTCTACATATCCGATCCCACTCGTGCCATTCTATTGCTTTCGATACGTGTGTATGGCTATGCTAGCCAAAACCATCAACGGACTTCAGAAAATACTTTTAAATGTTCACTTCACAAAACGAGCTAGAGTAAAAAGTTGAAATTGCTGTCAATCCTGAATTGAATCTTGTTTCTCTCAACCTTTTGGTGGTGTTCCGAGGGTTGGTACCCACCATTCAAGACAAAACTCCTAGTTCTGAGATGTCCGTGTCAAAGGGTCAGTGGTCTGGCGTCAAATGGAATTCCCGGGAATTCCCCTCGATCTTCGCTTTCTGGACTGCCGTACACTGCTGCCTGGCCATCCTTCCTTGTACGTGCACTGTTATAAAAAGTTGTAAAAAGTGTTGCAATATTACAACACAATCACCTACTGGAGTGTTGTTGTTGTTGTTTGGTGTCTGAACGGGAAATTCATCAATAGACAACTCTTTTGTTGTATTACAACTATCTGGTCCGGTTACAATAATGTCATCGTAATTAAAAAGAGTTGTGTTGTCGTTTAACAAGATTATTGTAATCTGACAACAATATTTGTTTCGAGATTGCACATGCACGTGCACAATGTGACCAACAAAAATGTGGTTTAAAAAAAAAAACAGAAGACTTGACGGAAGTCTTGTCGTATCGATTCATCAGAAAACAGCACCGAGCGCTAGCGCGTGTTTAATACAACAAGATGTGTTGCTATCAAACTCGCAAAATCGTAAAACTGCAGCAACTTTTTTAACAGCGTAGACACTGTCCGGTCCTAGATGAACAGCCACGTCGGCGGCGGCCAAGAAGGCCTGCGGCGCTGGCTCCAGGACTACGGCAACCCGAAGGCGTACGGGCAGACCAACTTCGGCTACGACATGTGCGCCACTTTGCAGGATTTGTTCAACTTGACGTACGTGTTAGAGATTCGTACGCCCAATTTAAAACTTCCATTTCACGAAGTGCGCTGCGACCCCGCTGTATTGTGCAGACAAGTCCCAACGGGTAAAAGAGGTCCTTGGATGTTCAAAAACAAAAAAAAAAGTGGTCATGGATCCCTACCCTCCCTTAAATCTACTGTCGTTCTCTATCGTTCTGCTCTGGTTCTAGGTACCACTTGATTGTGACGGACAAACCTGGATCTCAACTGAACGCCAACGGCAACTTTGACGGCATGATGGGTCTCGTTCAACGCGGGGAGGCTGAGATAGCCGTCACGCCCTTGACCATGGATCTGAATCGCGTGAACGTTGTGGACTTCAGTGTACAGATTTGGCCTCGCAGGTTGGTGAGGAGTTATTCCTTCCTACATTTACATCCCATCACATCGCCCTCTTTGCTCCATTTTTTTGGTCAAAGGATAGGGAAGGTGCCCAGTGATGGCCACTTTTAGCGCACAGATGCGCCTTTCACCTCTTTACGAAGTCTCTCAATCGTCGTACTGTTTGAGATATTTTCAGGAGCGTGCAAGAAGGATAGAGTAGAAGTTCTCCAGTTTGGAAAGGAGCAAAATTTAACTCTGTCTTTGCGAAAAGAGTAACCAAAATATCAGTGCAGTTTGCCCGGTGATGCCCGCCCTTTGCTTAGTGATGGCCTGTGCCCTGCTCGGTGATGGCTACTTTAGGTTTTGAGAGGGGAATAGTTCCATGCTTCCGTTTTTGAAAATAATCAGTTAGAATTAAAGTAAAGATTCCAAATCTGCGAAAGAAACGCTGCGAATACTGGTTTGATCTCAGCTCTACAAAATGAACAAAACATGTCAACGCAGCATTCGTTGCGCTGAGCCCGTGCGGCCGCCCACGACAGTAACGAGACGAAATAATTGCGGTGTTGTGTTGCTAATAGGTGAGGGTACAAAACCCCAAAAGCTCAACTGTTTAACTCATCCCGCGTGGATGAGAAGTCAGGGCAAAGTCTAAAGTGGCCATCACTGGGCACCTTACCCTACAATATGTGACACCCAGCACTGTCGAATGCCCCAGAACGACCCCCACCAGACGACTGTGCGGAGGGGAGGGGAAAAAATCTCATTCAACGAACGTTAATGAAAGCAGATGATACTCGTTTGGTTTTCTTCTACGGGGTAGGGTAAAGTGCCGAACATGGATCGGGGTACCAAACATGGATCACTTCTGTTTGGGGGTCTATAACTAAAGACCAGCTGACCAGATTCTTAATTTCTGTCTTTCCTTGCTTAGACTGACCCTTTGACTGTTCGATGTGAAGCTGACAAGTTTGTAACTGCGTCTCTCTACTCTGCAGGGTTGCGTTTAGAAAGACACCTAAAACAGGCCCCCGAAAATCGATGGAAAAATGACGTTCAAAAAGGTGATTTTTGCACCCCTGATTCTGGGCCAAGCAATCACCGCAGTCACTTCAAAATTTTTCATCGTGCACTTTGGACAGACTAGTTTGATATTCTGGGACTACTGAATGCATACCTTGCTTTGTGTCCGTACGCTGGTGGGGTGATCCATGATTGGACCACCCTAACCTAACCTTAGCAAAAATAGCCATATTTTCTTGTCCTCACAACTTCCAAAGTATTCGAGTTAGAGGTACCATTTTTGGTAGCCATATGACCAGTAAGGTAAACATCAATATTAGATTCAAAAATAGTAGTCACCCATACTTAATTTCGATCACCCTAGTATGGGCTCATTCCAAAGATAATATTTAAAAACTGAGTCTTTTGTGCCGTGGCCTGCACCGCCGCGCCATGAGACTAGGGCTTGGCCGCGCCGCCGTGCCCGTTGGCCCCCTCTGCGCTGTAGCGGGGAGGGATTGTCAATGCTGCGCGCAGGCCGTCGCGCGCGAGGAGGGGGTGCCATTGTCGAATTCCGCGCAGGCTGCGCCGCACACGGTAAAAACGGAACCTGGTTTTCCCAGGAAGCCAATGGTGTAAGTATAGGCGATTTCCAGGGAGTTCCTGGGAAAACCAGGAACCGTTTTTACCGTGCAGCGACAGACTCATCAGCCCGCCCCGGCAGCCAGCCCCTATTATATTGTTAGGTTACGCACTTGGTTTTTGGACTCTCGAGTAAAAGCTAGCTGACACCTTTATGTGTCTTGTAGTTGTAGTTTTAGGTATGTTTTTGTAAAGGTATCATCTGCTAAAAAGTAGCACTTTATACCATCGGCCAACACTACAAACCTAACTGTCTACTAAGTACACACTTACAAATGCATGCTTAGCAAGTACACACTTACCAATGCCTTAGCATGGAGCTACACGGCGCCAAGCATGCGTTTAGAGGAGTGCCCCCGTTGCAGGGCGGCCTTCATCTTCCGGCACCCGCGGCTGCTGGTGCCCTACAAGGCCCTGGCGGAGCCCTTCGCGCTCTCCCTGTGGCTGGCGGTGGCCGCCATGGTGGCGCTGGCGGCGGTGGTGCTGGTGGCGGTGCAGCTCTGCGAAGACGCCGCCTCGCCCAGCACTGGCGGGGGCGGCGCCGTGGCCCACGCCGTGGTGGTGGCCGTCGGCATCCTGAGCCAGCAAGGTCCGTGGCAGGCATGACTATCGTTTCAAATCCGGAGAAACAGATAACGGATATTGTTATTCAATAAAGGTGACGTCACATTTGTTAATGTTAGTTTGTTACGTTGGTTCGAGTTTGATGTCATACGGTACAGTCTAACATTCACAGTGCGAAAAAAAAACAGAGTGAATCCCGTTAATTTTTATGCCGGGATTTATCGTAGTTCAGAACACATGATGTACTGTGCCTGGCTACAGTATTTACTGCACCTGGTACTGTACATTCCGTACTCCACTCCTGTGGTACTTACAGCAAATCCCGTACAAAGTACAGTAGATCCTGTAAATAAGTACATTAAATCCTGTACTCTGAACTACAGTGACAGCTGTACTAATCACTACAGGATTTACTGCGATTTTTTCCCACAGTGTTGGGCCATTGGGGAACATGACGTGGGTGCGTTGTATTTGCTGCAGGCAGTGCGTGGGATACCACTCTGGCGTCAGGCCGGTGTGCTTTGCTGGTGAGCTTGATGTTCGCCGTTATTCTGGTCAACTTCTACACGTCAAGGATCGTCGGCACACTGCTGTCGCCCGTCCCCCGCACCATCCACACTGTGGAAGACCTGATCCGCAGCCCTCTCCAAGCGGGCCTCATAGACAATGCCGTCTTTCGTAACACAATCCCGGTACCTCAGCTGTTGACACTTATTAGAGCAGTTCTCGCGAAATGGTTAATTTTGGGCGCTGCGTCCCACAGTGGGCAAAAGAGGATAGTCCTATACCATCATCAGGTCTTGCCTATTCGCTATGTTTGGAAAATCTTCAATAATGGGTGCGTTCGTCCACTGAAGGAAAAGTTGGTTCATGAGTCGAGCGAGCGGCCCGCTGGGCCGCAGCTCGCGGCGCATTTAGCCCTCCCAGAAGTATTTCAGGCACCAACGTGAACAAGCCGACACTGTTAAAAATCCGCCGCCATACACTGTGGCAAAAAGGTACGGAAAATTCTGTTAATTTTTTGCCAGGATTCTCCGTAGCCCTCTTATCAATATTCTCCGTAGGCTCTTACAGTATTCTCCGTAGGGCCGTACAGTATTCTCTGTAAGTCCGCACAGTCTTCTCCGTAGGACCTGGAAGACTGTATAGTCCTACGGAGATCACTGTAAGGTCCTACGGAGAATACTGTGCTGTCCTACGGAAAATACTGTAAGAGCCTACGGAGAATATTGATAAGGGGCTACGGAGAATTACCACAAGCTGTTTACAGAATTTTCCGTAGCTTTTTGCCACAGTGTATTAAAACACATTCTCATACAGTAATCTTGTTAAATTACAGCAGTTCTGCTTTGTGTCCGAACCCACATGATAATTTTAACATTTTTTTGAAAAGCACTATGGTCATGTCATGTTCTATAGCAATCCAAACGTTGAAACAGACCAAATTGTTGATACAAACGGTACTTTAAAGACACTGTTTTTTCGCACAGTGCACGTTCCTGAGAGCATTGTGTCATGTTCGTGAATCAGCCATAAATTATCTTACGTTCAAACGAATGTGACTTATTGTCACTTATTGTCACATTCTTTTCAACGCGATGTCACGTTCCTGGAAAGACAGTGAATGTGTGAAAATAAATTGACTGCAATTGCACTGTTATCGAAGTTGCGATACTTTCAACACACAAACGTGCGATGATATCCAAAATGTGACTCCCACGAATCATTGCTCCTGAGATGCAATGACTTCTGTATCGCACAAAATTCTGCACTGACAATCGCAACTTTCTGCAATGAAAATCGGAATTATTGCAAAAAACTGCGATGATGACAACACAAAATCTGAAATCATTTTTGCAATGATCATTGCAAAATCCTGCGATACTGTAGCTCATCACACCTTTTTGCAATGATCATCACAGAAAAGTGGAATGAAATGTGTATTGCGCAGAAAGTGCGGTCTGTATCGCAAGTGGAATAACAGTGTGTCCCGTTGCAGGACTTCAAAGACAAGTGGGCGACAGCCGTGTACGAAGCCAAGATCCTCCACTCGTGGCCCAACAGGACGACAGGCGGCTTCTTCTCCGTGGCGGAGGGCGTGGCGCGCGTGCAGCAGGGAGGGTTCGCCTTCGCCACCGCGGAGGCTCTCGCCTTGTACCAGGCAATCGAGAGGACGTTTCGAGACGAGGAGAAATGCAGCCTCGCCGAAGTGGACGTTCTCCCGCCGGCCTTCAACGCGCCGCTAGTGCGCAAGAAATCGCCGTTCAAAGAGCACGTCAACTACGGGTACGCACAATAATGCACTCTAAATGTTGTACAGTGAAGATTCTCCATATTATGGTGAAAATGTTCCATATGATGGTGGCGCAGCTGACTTTGTACCATACCGTTGAGAATTCACTATATCTTATAGAAATTTTGACCAATTTGGTTGGTATTATGGAGAAAATCTCCACCATGATATGTTGGTGCAGCCTTTTACCGAAAGACATTTACAGTGTGGGTTTTCACTCCATGGCTCGAAATGAATTCAAAAGACTTTGTCTCGCACTCCGAAATCCTTACAAATTATGTAAGCCTTGCGAAGTAAACACTGTAAAAATTATGTTGTGAATTTACAACGGAATATTTTACGAAGGTTTTTGGGAATATCCAAAAGTGCACTGTAAATGTTTCTTTCCTACAGGAACTTTTGTAAATCAACGGAAGTTCGTCGTTAATTTACGAAGGTTCTTAGTAAATTTACGAAGAAAAATCGTAAATGTACAGAATCTGTTGTAAATTTACGAAGGGCTTCGTAAATTTACGACGGGCTTCGTTAATCTACGACGGGTCTTCGTAAATCTACGGCGGACCTTCGTAACTTCGTTAATCTACGACGGGTCTTCGTAAATCTACGGCGGACCTTCGTAAATAAACGAAGGAACTGTTGGCAATTTTTTTGCCGAAGGATCCGTCGTTAATTCCAGACGTATAATTACGAAGGTTCTCAGTATATTAACGAAGGTTCTTTGTTTATTAACGAAGGTTCCCTGTCAATTTACGAAGGATCTTTGTAGATTTACGGAGGTGCTTCGTAAATTTCCTTTGTGATTGTAAAATCGACAGAGATCGTTCAAAAAATTAACGAAGGTTTTTGTAAATATACGAAGAGCTTCGTAAATTAACGAAGGAACCGTTGGCAATTTTTTTGCCGAAGGATCCGTCGTTTATTCCGGACATTAATTTTTACAGTGAAGTAGCTTCACATAACCATGGAAAAGGACTGCTTCTCCATGATCAAACAAAGTATGCTGTACTGAGAATGAAAAAGTCTTGATCAATACCCAATTTCGAGCGAGGTATACTTTCCCAACCAAATTTGGGTAAAAACGTTTTCCTCACCCGAATTCGGGTGATAAAATTATTCTAACCCCAATTTGGGCGATAAAGAATACCTATACCTCGCCCAAAATGTTTTGTCTTGATTAAGACTCTTTCATTCTCAGTGTGAGCAAGCTTACAAAGAAAATAATTCGTAGTTGACGAGCTATTTCTTCATGTTGCAAACTAAATAGTTTACACTCTGCAAACTGAAGTGTGTACATAGTACAATCTTATTAGAGCATGCTTCCAAGTACACTCTTATGTACAGCATACTTGCTAGGCACACGCTAAAATAGAGTGTGCCTGGCAAGTACACGCTAAATAAGTGTGTACCTTGCAAATACACGCTAAAATACGCTCCATTAGTCCTATCTAAAAGCATGGGCCAGTTTAAGTGTACATTCGAGGTACACTCTATTTTAGCGTGTGCCTACACGGTAAAAACGGTTCCTGGTTTTCTCAGGAACTCCCTGGGAATCGCCTATGCCTTCACCATTGACTTCCTGGGAAAACCAGGTTTCGTTTTTCCGTGTATCAAGTATGCTGTAAATAAGAGTGTACTTGGAAGCATGCTCTAAAAAGAGTGTACTATGTACACACTTAAGTTTGCAGAGCACCTTCCGCATTACTTCGTAAAGTTTTAAGCGTGTGTAAAATTACGTTGAAGGTCCCAGAGCCTTAAAGAAACTTAAGGGGAGGTTCTGGTGAAAATGCTATTTTCTACTAAATAGGTCCCACAGTGAAAATTTGTTATCAAGTATTTATTAAAATTTTTCATAGGGGAGGCACATTCTATGCCCTGAACCCAGTCGCAGAGCCTTTTTCTCCCATTTAGGCTATAACTTTAAAAATCTTCTTGCGCATACTATTTTGTCGTGAATGGTTGGTTTAGACATTTTTCACTTCGTCGATTCATTTTTTTAAAATGCCGGCATGCACATCTCGAAATGTCAATTGCCTTTTTATTCGCAAGCTTCCTAACCAAGCATTTCATTATAATTGATCAAAAATGTACAAAATAGACAAATTTTAGAGACTTTTCAGCTTTAAAAGCTTATAATTAATAATATAATGGAAGTTTTGAGCTATGCATGCCGGAATCTTTTGAAAATGAATTGAAGAAGTGAAAAATGTCAGGGTCAACATTTTACGACAAAATAGTATGCGCGAGGAGACTTTTTAAGATACAGCCAAAATAGGCTCAAAAAGTCTCTTCGACTGGGTTTACAGCCTGGCATGTGCCTTCAAAAGCCAAATTTTAGTCTCCTCAATGAAAAATTTTATATTCCGAACAAATTATGACTGTAGGATCCATTTGGAAAATGACAAGATTTTCACCAGAACCTCCCTTTAAGTTGATTGTTCACTTTTCACCTTTTACCTGAAAACAGTGTCCTCGTGTAGCACAACCGCGTCACTGAGTTAAACAGGAAGAAATGTTTTCAAAGTAATAGTCGCAACAGTAAAAGATAGCACAGAGTACGGGGGGTCGGTCATTCACACTCTCATTCCAGGAACGTGACATCACGTTGGAACGAACGTGACAAAGTGTCACGTTCGTTTGAGCATTGTGTCACGTTCGTTTGAATGTGAACAAGCTGATTTTCGGCCAATTCACACCCAAACGAATGTGACACAATGCTCAAACGAACGTGACAGTTGGAAGTTGGAAAGTTTGTCACGTTCGTTTCAACGTGATGTCACGTCCCTGGGATGAGAGTGCAGAGGTTTTTGCTCGCACATTTTTACTCATAGAACTGTTGTGTTCTTTTGTGTATGGTGGTTGCCGTAGTCTACTTCTGATGTACGAGCGAGGCCTGGTCAAGAGGTCAAGGCTGCGGTGGTCCATGCCGAAGCCCTACTGCGAGTCGGAGACGAATGCCGTGGCGGCGGTGGGCCTGGACCCCATCTTCCCCGCGCACGGAATCCTGCTCCTGGGCATCGTCACCTCTTCGTTGTTCCTGGTCTTGGAGCGCTGCAGTGTAGGGGCGTGGCCCAGACCCTGCAAACGAGGAGGCGGCCCAGTTCGCGTACGCCTGGCAAGTCTGGAGGACAAGCCGCGCTCTGAACCTTCCGCATGCCGTATGACTCAACTTAGAAGAAGTACGATTGGAAATTTAAGTACCCACTCAACAAAACATAGTCCGGTCCTGGGCGAGTCCACAGTGGTCCCAGGGCCCTCTGAAAATGTGTCGTCCTTTAATGACAAAATCATTGATGATACTTTCATCACTTTCTAATGATGACAATCTCATCACAAATTTGTGACATTTTCATCAAACAAATGGTTTTTATTTCGTGCATTTCAGATCATGAGGAATCACGTTTGTTTGAATGTGACAATGCGGGCATGTCACATTAAGACGAACGTTCAGTACAAGGTTCGTCACGTTTGGATGTGACACGACCCATGCCAAAGTGTACCATCTATCACATTCGTTTCAATGTGACAGTTCGCGTCCTGATTTCGTTTCTTACCTGAAGTAATGTGACAAAGAGGTGCTGCGAACTATTTTCGCAGGTTGCGAAGGAAAAAGTTTGAACATTGCGAAGCATTGGCTCGTAACGTTGCAAAGCGTTTTCTCTGCAAGTTGCAAAGTAATACTTGGCAATGCAAAGGAAAATAGTTTTTAAGAGAGTTTGCAATACAATGCCGGAGAATACTTCGCAAGGTTTATGAGAGCAGTTTCTGGGCATCTCTGTCACTTGTAAGTGTATTATACACTTATACACTTATAAGTATAAGTGTATTGTAACCTTCATGTAACAAATTTCTGTATCAAGCTCCAAAATGATTCATTTTTCTGTAACCGGCACATCTGTTACAAAATTCTATATCACTTAGACAAATATTTGTAACCAATGCAGGTAATACCAAATCCTGCATCAAAAATGACACAAAATTCTGGAACTTTTTTTAGAGTATACTTTCACTATTATAGCTGGCTTACGGCATGTACACACTGTTTACTGCATGCTTATGTGTATGGTATATACTGCATATGCAATGTAGGCCCAGGCAGTACATGATGCATAACAGGTCAGCTGTCGGAGTACTGAAAAGAGTACTTACAGTGTAGGCCTTGTGCACTTAACACTAGAAGCGCCGGGTTTTCGGATTACCGTAAAGCGCCGAGCGGGCCAATTTGACCCAAGGGCATTTTCGTCGTACATGTCAACTCTTGAACCGTCATTTCGACTCGAAGGGAACCTAAAACGGATTTGTAGACCCTTAACAAGTCTAAGGATAAAATTTGGTGCACAGGGGTCGCAGGGGACGAGGTAGACAACCCGCAAACCATGATTTGCTGTTCTTAGTGTTTTCTACTGTGCCTCGTTGCCGAAACGTTTTTGATGATAATAGATGGCATAATTGTAATCGCCTTATGATCGAGATAGGGGTAGGTTGGGGAAGAAAAGTACGAAACGCGTACTTTGCACTGTACAGAAGTTCCAAATGAGGATTAAACTATTCTGCTCTCGTGAATATGTAATCCAATGCCTTCCTAATGAAATGGATCACTGTTCGTTGATTATAGTTCCCCACATTACGTACAACATGCCAAAATGTATGTGATTTCGGAACTCCTCGAAAAGGGTAAGAAAAGTACACCACCGGGAAAGAAAAGTACAACGAAATGAATTGCGAGTTCGAACCGGGAGACCACCAATCTTGCCTCAATACAGGTTTACCCCTAAAGTGGAGAGCTTTCACTTGCCATTAGTTCAAGTTTCGTCAAAATCGGTCAATTGGTTCTGATTCTACATGGACTCATCACATAAGGTCCAAGAAGCCTTTTCTCAGAGATAAGTGGGTACAGCATTTTTGTACTTTTCTTCCCCTTTTCACGTAAATGCCAAATAACTTGTTTATTTCGAGTCTAATTCTATAAATTGTGATGACATTTTTAGCTTGTCTCGCGTAATCAAATCGATTTCCGAGATCAATTCAATTTTCATCCCGCTTTAAGTTTCTTAGAGGGTGTTCTTTTCGTCCCCAATACCTGTACTTTTCTTCCCCAGCCGACTGTACTTTTCTTCCCCGTTTCATTTTTACACTTTAAAAAAATTGTGTTGAAGCCTAAGAGCATCGAACGGCACTGTTTTTTCAAAGATGATTATGATGGTCTATGCTATAAGGTGGTACCTCACATTGGACTGTCGGCTGATTCTGCAGGAAGCTGTACTTCAAAGTACAAACATTTAAAAAAAAAGATTTTCATAGTTATTTTTAACACAGAAAATAAATATACATTGAACCTACCGACTGCATGCGTATCATTGTCACTCTCCTGATAATTCAAGGGCATCTGACAAAATGAAGTGGGGGAGGACAATTTTTTCAAATCCCAGCATGCAAAATGAGGAAAAGGTAAAGTTTCAGAATACGGAGAAAAGACTAAAAACCTTTCAACTAACGGAAACTATTGGCTCATCATGCACTGAGAAAACCTTACAAACTGTTTTCGGCCTTAGAAAGGAAAGCAGCTTGTTATATGAAAGTATTTGATCCAGGAAGCGGAAGAAGGGGATAACTCAATTTTGGCCATTTTTCAGGAGAAACAAAAAACTGTTAGCAGGGAAAACTAAAACAAAACAAACGAATTTTGCAGATGTTAATAATTTCAAAAAGCATTAGTAAAATTTTGGAAAAAAATCAAAAGTGTAAGGTCACTCCGTAGAGGATTTCTGCGACTTATCACTTTCCGTTGAAATGGAAAACAGAGTCAGCTCACCTTATATTTCCTAAACAAAGAGGAATTTTGAGACAAGTCAAGTGGAACAATAGTCTGCATAAAGTGTATGTTACTCTGGTGTATTTTTTGGACTTAGCTCTTTTTTCCAAATTGAAATTCAAAATTAAGGGGGGGTTAAGTTGAGTTGATTCTTTTTACACTAGATTCATAAAAACACAAGTTGAGTTATATCCTTTTGCCAATTTGTCGAACGAACTCATGTAGACTAAGGTTGAGTTATCTCCATTTACCAGTGAAATTTAGACTGTAAAAGGGGTTAAGTTGAGTTATACCCTTTTTCCATGTGGATTTTCTCCTAAACTGCTTGGAATTCAGTCAAAAAATTTGGTGTAATGATGTAAACCATTCTAAGGCACAATAATAAAATAAAAACTCAATTTGGGGATAAGTCAAGTTATTCCCTTCTTCCGCTTCCTGGATCATTTTGAACATACATAAGCTTACAAAGAAAATACATTGATATTTACGAACTATTTCTCCGTATAACAAGGTAAACAAGGTAGGTTTACGCCAGACCGCGTCTTGTCGTAACAGGCTTCGCGATGTCTCGCTGCCTGTTCCTCCAATCCGCGCCTGGCGGACCTACCTTGGCCTGCGGCGCTAGCCTGCCTTCGGCAGGCCATGGCTTGCCCATCGTCGGTTACTTCTAAATTGTTGCATACTGGGGGGCTCCGCCCCGCAGACCCCCCTTCATTCCAGATAGAGTTGCTTCATCCACAGATAACACGATCTTGACCCTTGTTACTTTTCAACTTGCCGGGGCTGGGGGGCCCTGCCCCCCTGACCCTCCTTTCTTCAAGGCAGAAGATATTTGCCGGCAGAAAACTCGATTTTCGCCGTTTCTTAGGTGTTTTTCGGCTATAAAAACTGAACCAGTTGAGCTAGGATAGTGAAATTTCGCGTGTGCCGAGCAAAGGACATACCCAATAAGTGTGCAAAATCTCAGCCAGATCGGCCGAGCCGTTCAGGAGGAGTAGTGCTGACAGACAGACAGACACACAGACAGACAGACAGACAGACAGACAGACAAAACTTTTCAACCCCACCTGAGTAACGGGCTTCGCTATCGCTCAGCCAATGAGATTGTACAATGTACGCTCAACCTACTTCGTAAGGTGTTAAGTGTGAGGGTAAACACTCGTGAAAGTGTAAACGTAAACGTGCCAAAACGCGTCTGCAAGAAAACACGTGTGAACACTGTAAATCTTAGCATGGGACAGTTTCACACATTTTAGCGTGTAAGGGAGAGGGGGTCACATAGTGACACGGGGCTAGTACACTGTGCGGGATTATTTTGTGAAATTACGATTAATTGTCTGTTAAATCTGTACCACGAACTGCTCGTAAATTTCAAAAACGATGTGATCATCCATCTTTTTTTCGTCAATTTACAAAAATATTCTTAAACTTACAAACTTAATCCTCAAATTTTGGTCGTTTCAGGCATTTTTTCTTCCTATATAGTAAGGAAACAACGGCCGAAAACGCACTTTTTCAGACTTGCTTTTACAATCATACTTGTAAATTAACGATTTCACCTGTAAATTTAAGAGGCAGTTCGTAAAATGATGAGCAGATTGTCAATTTACAATTTACTTTGTAAAAAAACAGTGCAGTTCGTGGTACAAATTTAACAGGCAACTATTCTTAAAAATAAAGCTTCATTTGTAAGAAAACAAGTTTACGCGTTTTAAAACGAGAATAGTCGTAAGATAACGATTTTATCAGTAAAACTACGATCTTTCGTCAGTAACATTAAGATTTCATCGTAAAATTACGAATTTATTCCTAAATTTATGAGTAAAGTATGTAGAAAATATGACAATTGTTCATGTCATGAATCTTGTAGTTATTTTACGAATTATTATTTGTAAAATTACAACACTAATTGTTGGGATTACTGTTGTAAAATAACGACTTCTCTTAACAGTGTAGTGACAGTTCGTGTTTCGTCCTGTTCCCACGCGATTTCTGCCCTCATAATTTTTCATAAGCTTTGTTTCAAGTCCAGAGCGATGTTTTGAGAAGGTAGTGGAAGAGAGAGAAGTGGGAAGGGCGTCATTAATTTTGGGAAATTTGACCCTCCGGAAACGAGGCATAACCTAAATTTTCTTTCCATATTTGAAGTCCTATAGCATGTCTTTAATGATATTTGAAAGCTTATCATATGTTTCTCCGTTTGCTGTACATGTCAATACGTCATATCGACCAAATATTTAATGTATCAGTCGATCTGGATGAAGGAGGTTAAGATGCAAAGTTTACTTTGTCTCATGGGGTAAATAGTGACAAAAATTCGGGGGTAAATAGTGACACTCGTCTACTGGCATTTTTGAATTAATATGCCAAATTTTTGACTTTTGTTTATGTTTTTTATTAGGCTGTTAAGTTTTTGGTCTTTATGTTAGGTTTGGACCATTTTAGGTTTGAGGTGAAGCGTTACAAATTTTTTTGAGGTCTGGTCTCAATTCTTGTCGAAGAGACTTTGCGCTCAAAATGAAATTTTAGCTTTTCTTAATTAACTGGAAAAGTGACTGTTCCATGTCCTCCAGGATCATTCTACCAGTACAAAGAAGTATTTTAAGTAACAAAATATGAATGTTAATACTCTAAACAATAAATCTTCTTGTAAAAAAAAATTAAACGGGTATTTTATAAAATGATCAACCTGACCTAACCTAACCTAGATGTAGGGCCTTAAAGAATATTAGCCGTCAAACGTTGTGGAAGGGCTGTCTGTCAGTGACAGTACACAAGAAGTGCAGGTGCTAACATATGGTA